GTTCGGAAGATGCGTTGGACAACTGCTCCTTGCCTTGTCTCTACATCCGGGTACCCCGGTGAGAGAAAGGCGGTAGAGCCATTTTGTCTAAGCCAGTAACCTAAACACGCTGCAGTAAGTGTGACTGCTGGGTCAAGCGCAGGAGCAATACCTAGCCACCTAAATATGTGTGGGAGATACCGTGCGGCCAGCCATGGTCTGCCTAGAATCAGTTTCGCAGAGCGTTGTTGGTATAGATTGATGTCGTCCGGATTAAAGCCAAAGTATGTGCTTTGATAGATATTAAGGGACAAAATAAAGCAGTTATTGGCAAGGTTTCTTTGCACCACTGAGTGGGCAGGTGTGGCGAAAAGAGCTAGCCGATGGTTAGCTTTGGACATGGCTTCGGGATTGATGGCTTGCGTACTTGTAAGCTCTTCCACTGGGGCCCAGCCTTGATGGCTCGTGCTTGTACCCTGGCCATGGTGGTTTCCTGTGTGCCGGGCTAATGGGACAGAAACGTAGAGTTTCATGGCACGGCTGATGATCTGTGCTTGCAGTTGGTGGGCGTCGGGCACCCTGAGAACATGGCACCAGGTGTGGACACCTATTGGCAACATGGCTATATGCAGCAGCAAGTATTCTTGGGTGCGGGCGGTTCCTGCAATTGTGCCAGCTCTTGCATTCCAATCGCCCTGCTTGCTGAGAGATGGTCCGAAACATGTGCTTCCTTTCTGCAAGCCAGCAGTACATCCCACTGTTGGTCTAGCTCTCCTCCACCCAATCCAGTGCACTGAACATCCAGGGACCCTGGGTCAGTGGGATTGAGTTGCCAGGCAGTGTTATCCATGATAATGATCTTCCACTCAGTGTATTGAGGGTCGGCATGACTAGCAAGAACTTCGTTAATGGCCAGCTCTGCGTTGCTAGGGTCAATTCCCAGTCGTTTTTGCAGTGCCTCGAGAAGAGGGAGGATCTGGGCGGTGGGCAGTTGGAGGCTGGCTTGCTGTCCGCAGAGGAAGGCGACCCGATGGCTCAGTTGGTATGGCGTTGGTCTTGCCAGCGCTGACAGACTGCCGGTGGTGGTTCGTATCCCTGCTGGTCCACTCGGGAGTCTCAAGTGCGACCCGCCGAAAGGCAACGGGCGCCGACCACAAAAAAAATTGCTGTCCGCAGAGGAAGTGGGCGGTTTGGCAGGTCTGGGGCCAGGGTGTGTGGTCGTTGTTGTAATTAGGGACATCCACTGGCGTCCAAAGGCTTTGGAGCAGCAATACTTGCATCTTGGTAAGGCTGAGCTGTTGTCCGACGTGCGGTTTTGCTACCAATTTGCTTCATCTGACGAAATCGCAGCCTGTGGGGTGTGTCCATAGCGGTGGTGCCTCGTCAAGTGGTTGCAGCCCTTTACTTTGCCACTGTTGGAGCTTCTGTCCGAGGCCAACTTTGCTCCCATGGAAGGCATGCACAACGGGTGGAAGGCTGTACCCATCATCTAACTCCTTGCTTTGGAATAGCTTGTCCCCCGGGAGGCAGAGTATGGGAAAGTTAGCCGGGAAGACAGACATGGGGGAGAGTGTTCCCTGCTCGAAGATGGGACGGGCCCATGTGAGGAAGGGCGGGGTTCGCTGGACAAAATCCGGCCGTAAGTAGCGACCATCTCCGTGACGCGGCCATTCTCCTTGTTCAGGGATAGGGAATGCAATGATGCCAGCCCATTCCCCTAGCATTGCCCAGGCATGTGTCCAGTCTAGTGGGGTTCTGGCCTTACATCCAAGTAAGGGGGTAAGAACTAGTACGCCTCTTATTGCTTCCGCAGGGTCTTCTTGCACAGCTGTGGTGGCCAGGAAATTGGCTCGACTGTTGCTAAGTGCGATGACCCATTCGTCCGCCGATCTGCTGTTGGCTGGGTGGACTATACGTCTTGCTTTAAGGGCACACTCGCATCCGAGCCGGCGGCATCACTTGGTGGCATGCTGGCATCTGGGGTTTCTTGGTCCATGTCGACATCTACTGCGTAGGTCGGAGCATGTCCTGTAACTATAATCAATCCAGCGTTGAGTTCTGCTTTTGCTTCGGTCGTGAGCAGGACTGCCGGCGGGCATTGGCTGGAACTGGCCATGGTGTAGTGCTGCATTGCCTCGGCTCTGCTCGCCTTATCTGTCATGAGATTGAGTCGACTGTAATTCGGCTTGTTCTCTGAGTGCGCCCTGAATGCCGTAGCTACTGCTGTCATTTCTCACAATAGATCATGTCTCACCTCCTGTTTCACCTTTTATTCGTTTTTCACCACTCTCGTTGCGACCCGGCGTTGTCGGTGTTGCTTCGAAGTGCCAGAGTGAATGTTATGCCTTAACGGCTGCTCTCTGTGATCTCGGGGATCCTGGCTGGGGGGATCCCTGGTTTCCGCATTGAGCTTTGTTGCTTCTATCACCCTCCTACCTGGCCCCTTTGTGTGATTCTGTGTTTTCTTTTTTTTGCTTCTTGTTCGGTGGCCATTCTCATAATGACACACAAGATGTGATCATGCATGTTATTCCCATTGCTGGCAGCGATCCCACTTCTCTGTGTTTTGTTTGTTTTGGTTTGGTTGTGGTTGTGTGTTTTTTGTTTGCTTGGTTCTTTTTTGTTTCTGGTTGTGTTTTTTTTGGTTTCTTGCTGGGACACCTCGCTGGACTGCGTACAGGTCCACTACCAGTACTTTTGTGGCTATCGACAAGTAGACAGCCTTGCATGATAATTACAATTCATCTGTTTGCTGCGATTGAACGTGTGTAACGACCTGGCGGAAGCCATGAAGGCGTTGGACGGAAAAAAAGTCGACTGTAATTCGGCTTGTATGTGCCTCCACATTGACGTGTTTGAGCCAGTGGGTCTGATTCATGGCCGTGATATTCTAGACGATAGTACCTCATCATCTTTTATCTCTGACCAAGAGTGACCTAATTGGTGCTGTCTTTGCAGTACCATTCTGCTGCAAGCACAGTCGAGCTACAGTCGAGGTCTCTTTTGGCTTCTCTGTTTCTACTAATTTTTTGGATCTTGTTTTGGGCCCATAATGAAGCAGATTTGTTGCCAGACACTAAAGTCTTTGGCTGCTGAATGTCTTTTTGGCGTTCGTTTGGAGCTGCTGCTCGATTTCTACCTGCGTGGATTGTTTTGGTTGCTTGCAGGCTTGCATTTGGTAGGGTCTCAAGACTTGCTTCATGCTAAATATATCCTTGAGGCTCTGGCCTCAAGACCTGCTTTAAGGCCTGCTTCGAGGCTTGCTTCATCCTTAAAAGCACATCCTCGAGGCTTGAAGGTCTGCCTCGAAGCCTGCCTCGAGGCTTAAAAACATATTCTCAAGGCCTGCCTCGAGGCCTGCCTCGAAGCGTGCCTGGAGGCCTGCATCATGCTATAACCTATCCTCGAAGTCTTGGAGGCCTGTCTCGAAGCCCTCGAAGCTTGCTTGATGCTGATAAACACATATATTTTCGTTGCATCTTTGTTTTCGCTGCAATTTGCATAGCCTCAAGGCTCTCGAGGCCTGCCTCGAAGCCTCCCTTGCAACCTGCCTCGAAGCCTGCCTCGCAGCTTGCCCCCTCCTTCTAAGCTATTTGTTTTTCTTCCAATTTTCATAGCCATGAGGCCCTCCCTTTGCGCCAGCTGCGGCCTAAAATTCTACAAGGCACCACAATTTCCCACTGCCACACCATCACCAATTCCATGGGACTCCGTCCACGGCGTTGGTACTAGGTAATCAAAGCAGTCAGGTTGAATTTGAGCAGCGAGCACGATATAAAGGAGGTACCCTAGTGTTTCTGCCACCGGGATGAGCAGCTCCGAGCTGGTTATGGATGGAGAACGGCTCATCCACATCAAGGAGGTCACCCAGCACTATGCAGTGTGCAGCGCCTTGCTAGAGAACCTGCAGAGTGCTCACTACGGTTTGCTCAAAGCCAAGCAGCAGGTCAGACAACTTCCCTGGATGACCAGGGCCATACGACAAAAGCTTGACGAGAGCATCAAAGAACAAGTAGACCTCCTGCATATGACCACAGACTATAAAGTACACCTCACAAAGGTACTTGACAATGCGCAAAGAGAGCTGCTTATCCCTGTCACCTACCCACAAGAAATCGACCTAGCTCCTGATGAAGATGAAGAACTACGAGACATTCGAGCGAATGTGTTCCCTCCTTCAGATTGATCCGCGACTGTCCTACACACCGATCATATGCTGGGACGATGCCCCTATGTGAATCAACATTGACATCAGGCAAGGCAATTATCATTAGACGTAGCTGCTCACATGTCTAGCTACAGCACTGAAGATGAACGCCTCCAATCGGTAGCACCTGAAATTGGGTCAAGGTTTTTGATGCGCGGGTTCTTTGCTGCGACCCCTTTTTTATTTGATTAGTTGTTAAAACGACGCGTGCCAAGTGCTAAAAGGACTCCATGCACCGGGCTCTGACAAGGCAAACTTTCTCGCTTTTATTTACCCCTAGTCAACCTGGGTAGGGACTATGCAACTACGCGGTCAGTCAACAGAATTAGTCAACAGAACAGCACAGTCTTGCCAGGGTGAGTTTCGAGACGAGCTCCTGACTAGGTTTGACTCTTGACTTGACCCGCTCTACTGTGTGTGCACCTGCAACATGTTGTCAGGCTCAAATGTTGACGAGATGTCTTTTTCAGATGTGCTGCGATGCATAATCCCCTGTTAGATGTACCTTGAAGTTGCCTTATCTTACTGGTCTCATGCTCGCCCTGCTTTGCTCCTCCCCTGATATTGATTGTATTTACGAACATTGGCCACCACTATGTACGCGGAGTTTACAAAACCGTTATGTTGCCTGTACACGGTGTCTTTCCGACCGCAGACGTGTCGGGACTTCACCTGTCAGGTTACCACTATTTCGTTATTCATTTTAAATTCTGTACTCTCTCCTGTGTTAGCGGTCTCCTCTGTGTCTTCTTGCTTGTCCCAGTACCCTGCCCCCTGGTTAGAACACCAACCTACCGGCGCCAAAACCGAAGCCATGGAGGAGGCCAAACTGATTCGAATGGCAGCAGCAATCAGTGAGTACACTGTGAGCAGTATGCTTCGAGAAACTGTTCACGGCGCAGCTGAGTCGATTAATCAAGCTGTCCTATCAGTGCAAACCCTCCCGTGGATCCCTGAACACCTACTGAGCGATCTTGCTAAAGCACAGCAGGATCTAGCACAGTTGGAACAAAGTGCAGTTAATTATCAGAAAGAACTAGCAGCTGACGTAGAAGAGGCACAGAAAGCTCTAATCCAGGACCGTCATTTCCACGAGAAAGACGAGCTCGTTTCGAATTTTAATTCAGAGGCATAAACTGCATTGTGTGCACTTGCTGACAGTAGATACTACAGTTGCACTAGGAAGAAGGGGCATAAAACGTGTGTGCAGCAGCTTCCTCAGTGATGAAGTGCAAAAGACCAGTGAAACTACACAGTCACAGATTTCTGAACATACACGTGCACCGACCCTAACAAGAAACAAGGCTACGTGCTCTGATTAGTGCTTCTGTCGTGCTGCATTAAGCATTATTGTAGACCGTCATCGCGCAATTGAGCTCTCAATTGTTCGAATTCTTGTATGTCTGTGTCAGACGTTCGCTGGCGCCATCCTCTTTTGGCTCAAAACACCAGCGAGACAGTATGTCTCTGCTGGAGCTCGTAGACAGAGTTCTAAAAGCATAATCCTCTTTGACTTTCTCGTTGGAAATATGTCCCTTCGTGAAGAGTACCCTGTGTTTCTCCGTGTTCCCCCCCTTCGTAATTAGATTGTTTCTTTGTAAGTTTTTCTCTGCTGTCTACGGCAGGCACTAATTTAACTTCCGACAAATTACCTGAACACGGTGTCTCTCTGACCGCAGACGTGTCGGATTGCACCTGTCAGGTTACGAAGGATTGCCTCAATGTCAAGCCCCTGCATATTATAAGCGACGGAAACTCTCACTCCCCTTTCAATGATTCCCCTTTTCTGGTCTGTTGGATTAACACCTAGTGGTGTACGCCAGTGTTACATATAGGGTTTGGGCAAGCCATGGCATCGCCGCTACTGACCTTCCTAGAGAACTACCACTGGAAGGGCTATACGGTGGACACCATTGTCAACAATTCTAATACGATGATGTGTTTGCATCGTGGAAATTTCCCCATGCACCGTTACTGCAAGAATATGGAAATTGGGTGTGTGCCTTTCAACCTCCTAGAAGCATGGGTATGGATTCACATGGAAAAGTGGAATATCCTATGGGCTGATGACGACACGTGGCTCCCACCGGACGCGAATGTTCTCACACGGGAGCGTTTACCCCATGGCTTCCACAAAGTCATTATCCATGAAACAGACGAGGACTACCTGCAGGTCTGGTTGGAAGTAGCAGGACGGGGATTTTACCCCTTTGCAGCAGAGAGTCGTCACTACGGCTATGCCTGTTGGGCAAATTCACGCCGTTTTGCCATCATAGCACGAAGTGCCCAACAATGTGCCATTATCGCAGAAGTTATGCACGCTTACAATTTGTTGGGGAACCGCATAGAAATATACGCCCCCCAGGCAGAAGGAATTGCTCTCATGGACCATGCCAGAATCAATAGTGCGATACATGAAGACGATCGGTCCTGTTTTGATTTTCGTGCATCCCAAATCTGCCGTGATGCAATCGCTGGGAGGTTCCCCAACAGCGCTAGTAAAGAGGAAAGAATGTTCCACCTAAGCGAAGGGATTCACCTTCTGCAGAAGCAACACAATGATTTAGTCCATGAAGCAAACCAGGCTATCTACCGTGTGCAACAGAGCTGGCACATGCTCAGTCAAGCCTATGCGGCTCTCGTCAGTAGCTAATCTGCAGTCTCACAGTCTCTTGCAGTCCCTGATGACTCAGTTTTTATGCACCAGACCACTCTCTGGAAAAGGAAAGGCGACGTGAAAAGTAGTCACCAGTGGGATTAGGTAATCGTTGTACTGATTGGAAAGCTTGCTAGGGTCTGACCGGCGCATTTGACATTTCTGACACTTTTTCTGCAGCGTTGGCTCACGCAGGGAGTCACTAGTCTAGGGTCTGTGCCCCCCTGAGTCGTATCTGACCCCAATACCGGCTCGGGAGCGAATGCCTTATTTGTTGAGAGACTACCACCTATCTCCCGCGTAAAGGCTCCATCCTAATAGGGAGTACTATCTTTTAACTAACATGCTTTTTCGGTTGGAAGTTCGCACATCTGGTCGTAGACTGATCCGGTGTGCTTACCTCCTCCAGCAAGCTTCCTGATAACTCCCTCATGAGTTTGAACACATACAGCAGAAACCGCATCGGCTTCACTTAACTCTGCAGAATGCGACCCATGGCATTTGCGCGCTTCAGACAAGGTGGCCATCAAGTACCACCATCGGTCAGAATGATTGCATATGGCCTGGAAGCTGCTCAAGATCTGACCACTACCCTACGAGACCTTCGACGTACTGTCAGGCTGATGCAGAGTGGTATCGTCATTCTTTTCCCGGACGAAGTGTCTGGGTTACTATAGAGTTTTGTACTTTGGACTCAGCCCGGTTGTATAGGCAGTTTGCTAGTTGAAAACTACTCCAAAACTGAAACCTCAGTTTAGCCAAAGAGTTCTGTCATGCAACAAGCATGGATGTGAATGAGCGCTTACTCCGCAGGCGTTGTGGTTAGAAAAGATGTTTTTATGGTAGCGCGGAGCTTAAGGATCCAGTGTTTCTGGTGAAAGCTCCTGGGTTGTTAGTTTCCCAACCTTTGCCTTGGGACCCAAAGCCATAGCCTTACAAAGCCTTACAACTTTCTGGATCTAGGGTTTCAGCTCAGGGATCTGTGAAAAGATGAGTGCCCAAGGAAGTCCAACTTCTGCGGCTGATGGTGGTGAACTTTCAGGATCGCAAATAGCAATGCGAATGGTGCAGGCAGCAGAAGCTGCTGTGGCGGCTGCAAATGCAGCATCGACGGCAATCAATTCGTTGACTTCGAGCTCAACAGGTACTGGTGGTGCAACTGGTACTACAAAGGCAGAATGGTACAAGGTTTTGCCGAAGCCGAGCTGCTTCGAACCGAAAGATCGAGAAGCTGAGTTAGCAACTTTTCGTGACTGGTGGTGGCAAGTTGAACAATACATGTTGGCTGTGGATGCCAATTATGGGCATGATTTGCAGACCATCAGGTCAAAGCTAGATGAGGAGATACCGTTGGTAGAGCAGAGCATCGAGCAGACACGTCGCAGTGCATTTCTATATGGTTTGTTGGCCTCCTTGCTGAAGAACCGTCCCCTTTTACTCCTAAAAGGAATCGAACAAGGGAATGGGCTTGAAGCAGCGCGTCAACTTTTCAGGACGTGCCAGCCGAGCTCCAGGAACAGATCACTTGGGTTACTTCATTTGATCATGCAATGGCCTAGCTTTGATATGAAGAGTGCAATCTTACCACAAATCCTGAAGTTGGAAGACAGTTTCAAGGAGTACGAGAAGATTGCAACAGCTTTGTCGGAAGAGCTGAAGTTTGCAGTACTTTTGAAGTGCTTAAGTGGGCAGTTGAAGACCTACTTGCAGGTTTCGATGCGTGAAAACATGACCTATGAGGAACTTCGCGAAGCCACACTTCGCTATGATCAGTGTACCATCAAATGGTCACAGTCGATGGCCTTGGGAAGCTCAGTTTCAGCTTCAAATGACACGTCTGGACCCATGGACGTGGATCGAGTTGAGAAAGGAAAGGGAAAGAAAGGAAAATCGAAGTCAAATGGAAAAGGCAAAGACAAAGGCAAAGGCAAACAGAAATCCAAGTCCAATGAGAAAGGATTTCACTCTGGCAAAGGGTATGGAAATCAGCAACAGCAGAGCTCATGGAATTCCAAAGGAAATTCATGGCAGAATTCTTCCTGGAACAGTGGTGGAGACAATTCTGGAAAAGGCGGCAAATCACAGAAAGGTGGAAAATCGAAAGACTCTGGCAAGGGCAAGGACGTGACATGCCATAGATGTGGTGGACACGGCCATTTTGCTCGTGATTGCAGAGTGCGTTTGGTTGGACAGAGCGACAATGGTGCAACTTCAACAGATGGGAAAACTGATGGAAATGCAAAGACCAGTGCAAACAATGCGCAGGTCAATCGAGTCAGTTTTGCACCAGAGGTTTCTTCGTCTTCGACATATCGACAGCTGGATTTTGACATTTCTGGCATGAGTGATTTGCAAAGTTTTTCTGGTTTTCATGTGAACATGGTTTCAAACCTTATTCAAACAACAACCAAAACAACTGTTTCAGATGGAAGTTTGCAAGTTTGTGGCGATGATCAACAGTTTTTCAGTGCGTGTGGAGATGAGTTTCATGGTTTTCAGAAGCATGTTTGCGGTGTGAGTGAATTTTCGAAGCGTTGTGCAAGTGACGGCAGTGCAGAAGCGTTTGATTTGCAGAAACTTTTTCAACTGGACGATGTGGAGCACTTCAACAAACGTGTTTGTGATGAATTTCAACTTGATTTGTATGAGGTTGCAGGTTCAAACAGTTGTCACAGAAGTTTCATGCGTCTTGGTGATGTTTCTGTTTTGCAAAAGGATGGAACACTTGCAGAGCGTTGCAACCCCTGGCAGACCCATTGGCAGAAGGATGGAACCAATGCAAAGAGCTGGAAACCTTGTCAGACAGAATTGCAATGGGATACAACGTTTGCAGATGGTTGCAATTCATTTGAATCTCAGTTGAATGTACGTGCAGTGTCATGTTGCAAACATGTGGATATCATACTTGATTCAGGTTCAGATGTGACACTGATTCCAATGCACATGGCAGGGATTGGAACGAAAGCTCAGGCCTGTCCAGGCACTTACTTGCGTGATGCTCAGGGCAAGGAAATTGCCACCAGTGACATCAGAGATGTGAGTTTTGCATTTGAAACGTTGGATGGAGACCAGGTTACAATCAAAGAGCGTGCTTTCTTTAGTGACAGGGTTGACAATCCTTTGATTTCATTTGGCAAATTGTTGAAAACTGGTTGGAGCATTGAAAGCTCAGACATGTCAGGACCTCCATTACTTTCTCATAAAAATGGTGCCAAAGTTGAACTTGCGTTCAGGAACAATTCATTGGTTCTTGCAGGTGATGTACGTATGGTTCAAGATGTACGTACAATCAGTGTGGACGTGCCCAGATCTTGGTTCAATTTACCTGAGGGTTGGTATGCATTTGATGGGTTTCAAGTGTGCAGTTCAAATGCAGTGCATTTCATTGATGCCACAACACGATATCTGGTGACAGATTGGCCATACAGGACCACAGTTGCATACCACGACACACAGGGTTGGCAAGTGATTGAACTTTG